AGCTGTTGGGTTCGGAAATACTCCGGATCCAAGTACCCGAATGTCCCTTTAATGTCTGTGCTGACGTGAGTTTCATCGAGAGGGCCTGCTCTTGAGAGGCCAAAGTCGGAAACTTTAGCAACCAGGTTCTCGTCGAGCAAGATGTTGGTGGACTTGACATCGCGGTGAATGATTCCCCCGGCTGAGCCTTTGTGAAGGTAATTAAGGCCTCTGGCTGCGCCAATGCAGATTTCAAGCCTTTTCTTCCAAGGCAGAGGAGGCAACTTTGAGTTGTAGAGATGTTCTCTCAAGGTGCCATTCTCCATGAATTCATAAACCAGAATCATTTCCAATCCTTCGTCGCAATACCCGATGAACGAAACGAGATGCCGGTGGCGAATGCGGGACAAGATCGTGATCTCTCTCTCGAACTCGGAAATGCCTTGTCCAGCTCCGGGCTGGCTTCGCTTCACAGCTACTTTCATGCCGTTTCTAAGAATTCCCTTGTAGACTTTACCAAAACCGCCCTCACCAACGAGGAACTTCCTGTTGAAATTGTTTGTGGCGGTTTTGATTTCGGCAAGCGAAAACTTGAGGCCAAGATTCAAGTTAGGAATGGGGGAGCTGCTTGTGGTTCTCTCAGTAAACCTGCTGAGAGTACTCCCTCCAAAACCAGATAATGGAGACCAATTCGAGGGTGTATGTGAACCTTCCTCAGTTTTTGGCTTCCTTCGTTCCACACAAAACCAGATTCCACAGCCTAAAATGCAGACCAACGCAAAAGCCCCAACACCCAAACCCACGAAAAGACCCAAATGTTTGTTCTTCTTTTCCTCAGGATCTCTGATGGGAGGATCGTGGCTAGGCTCATCCATGGCTTCCATAATCTCAGCCCCATTCAGAAAAGCGTTGAACTGTGCAGATTGGTTAAAAGGCAGAGGACCAACACTGACATTAACAAATTCACTATCACCAGAATCCACCAAGAAATCAAAATGATTTGGGAAGTTCGTGCTCGTCGAATCTGAACCTATAGGAGGGTCATTCTTGAATCTATCGCCAATAAACAAATCGAAGACTAGAAAATTATTAGAGGCTAAACCGACGACATCAAAGAAATGAACCCGGAGAAAATGGCGTGTATGTTTTCTGGAATGAAAAGACCACGTGATGTTGAAGAACTTTTGGGTGACGCTGGAATTTATATTCATCTCCGTGGCCGTTCTGTAGACCCAATCGGGCGCAAAATATTTGTCATCTTCGTTCTGGTAATTGGGTGTCGACGGATAAACAGTGCTGTCCTTTGCAGAGCTCGGATTCACCAGATAAGCGTCGTCCAAATCCCATTTTCTCCACAGGTTGTCGCCGTCGGGGGCGATTTCCTGACCTCCCACATTCACTCTGTAAATTGTATGAAAAATCTTAGACACACCTTTTTCGCCGGCGGGGTTAATCACCGGAGCAATATTGGGCAGGAAGAAGCTCGGTGGGGTGGGGAACACTTCAATGGCATTCACAAACGCAATAGATGAAGGTTTCGGCAAAAAATTAATCCGAAATTTCCCTCTGTTTATGCTCAGGAAGAATTCATTAATTGAAGCAGAGTCGTTGGCGACGCTGGTGGCCGTGACATCTTTCAGAAGAAAAACCCCAAGAGCCGAAACATCGAAATGGACTGTGGGTAAGTCGGAAGAAAAATTGAAAGGAGAGATATGAAGGCGTACAATATGAACAGCATCTTCTTCGATTTGAAATTCGTAAAACGAAGCCTGCTTGAAAATCCTGGCGGAGCCGTTCAGAGATGGAGGCGAATTGTCGAGATCAGAGGGATCCCCCGACGAGAACCTGAAAGTACCATCGGAATTAAAGTCGCCGATGAAATTCTGGTTGGCGTTCTCGACGACGGTGGCCCGCGATCCACAGTTGACAAAATACTTCACCGGGGAAGTATAAGACTGAGACAGGACGTGAACAGAGAAGAGGAGGAGACAGAGGAGAGCGCGAGAGAAAAGGGTTTCCATGAAAATGGTGGGTTCCGATCAAATGGGTTTACTTTTGAGTTGCCATTGAAGACGAGAGGAATCGCAGAGAAGAGAGGAGAGGAGATGAACAAGTCCACCGTTGAACGGCCATGTTAAATTAAATGTTCGCCTACCATCTGCAACTTGGCAACAAATAAAGAAGAAGGTGATTAGGGATGATGAAACATCCATTGACAGTGACATAGAGAAAGTAAGAACAATAAATCCAAAGAGGACTTGCTGCAGTCTCTCCATTGGAAAACAGTAGGAAGAGAGGGGTTTTGTGGTTGCGGAGAATGGACGGGTCAATGGGTCTATCCAGGGAAAGAGAGAGACTTTTCAAAAACGGGCTCCACCTTCAAGATATTTGGAATTTGGATGCTGAGTTTTAATTTTATTTGATGGATACAAAATATAAATTGGAGGAGAAATAATTGCAAAAATTAGACCCTGTTCGTGTTGTTTAATTGAGCTCTAACGATTTGCTAATAGAATCCTATGTCCAGTTTAGCGGTAGAGCACATGTGCAGCACTAATTAGTTAAGAACGTAACAACGAAAACACATGAAAATTAGTGAATCGTGAGAAAGAGATTGCTGCACAGAAGATTGTCACCTCGTAGTCCGCTTGCCACGTCAAAAAATCTACTAGAATTTGGTATCAATGTATTTTATAAATTCTAATTACATAAATGTCAAATGCCCGTAAAATTTACACTTTTGTCAATTATTTGGCCCGTTGGAAAGAAGCCCATTTCTAAATTATCAAATTACCCACACGGATATATATAATTATATTAACCATGCAAAAATCTGCACCAAAAAAAAAAACCGTACCAAAATCTAGAAGGAAATATTTCATATAAATATTATATGTTAATTAACAAATTAAGGGGAAGAAAATAATTATATTAAAAACTATATAATAAAGATAACAACTAGTATTAAATTGAGGGCAATTTGAGGATAAAAGAATTAACCAAATCTCCAAATCTAAATTTTAAAATTTTTAAAATGATAGACAATTATTGAACAATTAAGGACAACTTTTGTTTTTTTAATTTATTGCATGGGGATGGGCCTGTAAAACGCCTCAAATCAAACCCAAACTAGAGACATTTATTTTTTTTAGCTTAATCACATATATCCCCTATTCAAATCCCCTCTCACTGTGATTGAACTAAAACAAAATCAATTAGTAAAATTAGAGAGAAACTTTTCAATTTAGTCCATGTTATCCAATTATATCCAATTCTATAATTATATATCAATTAGTTAAGATTTTACTTAACAGGAGGTTTAAATATGTCAGCTTTATACTTAGACATGCAATAAATCATAATTTAAACGTAGCCTCAACAATAATAATTTTGGATCAAATATTTTTTTCTTTTTACTTATTAAAAAATCCAAAATAACTATAGAAAAGCACCAAGACAAATAGACGACATATCATATTGCTAGAAATGTACAACCACAAGAAAACTACCTTAATTCCATTCCATATGATACATAAAACGAGTTATAG